AGCCTCGCGGGCCGGCCGCCCCCTCACTCAGTCCGACCTCGCTGGCGCCGCACTGGTCGGCCCGCCGGCAGCTTCTGGAACTGACTCGGTTCCCAGAACACGAACCGCTCGGATGTCTAGGTGAAGTAAGCGCCGGCCTGACCCGGGGAAAGCAGCGGGGGGCTCAGCCTCCAGAGGAGCTAAGACTGAGCCGAAGAGCCCGAACCGCTTGGAGCGTTGGCTCCCGTCGGGACGAAGGGGACTGGTCCCCAGCGCACGTGGAAAGCAGGGGGCGGTTGGCCGCACAGCCCACCTCATCTAATACCCAGCGGGACGGTGCCTGGAGGCAGGCACCTCTGCTCGCCTAATGCGGAGGGGGAGGCAGCCTGGAATTGACATGTTGTGTGAACCAGGCTGTCAGCTGAAGAGAGGTGACACTTCTCAGCAGAGCAGGTTCCCTGGATGGTTCTTTATCAACTGTTTGGGATGGAAAGAGGCCTCTGGCAGAAGGCGGTGTTTGCACAGTGCTGCAAGTCGAAAAGCCACGAACTGCATCTTCGCTGCCATTTGAACTGATTTCAAGCTTCCTGATGCACAGTTCCCGCTCCAGATGGCAGCCTGTGTGGGACGGGATGTCGCAGGAAGCCTGAGACTGATTCAAGAGGTGCCCAGCGACCAGAGGGGAGCCTTGAGGCTCCTTGACACGGGGGGGGGGGGGGGGGCGGGAGGTGACCTTGAGGGCAGCTCAGTCCCGGGAAAGAGAAAGAAACCGAAACTAACCTCTGGAATGAGGACGGCAGAGGGGTGCTCCGGCAGGCTTTTGAGGTCCTGCAATGATACTCTGCACCAGTAAAGGAGCATTCCTGAAATCCTTGCTTTGTCTGTTTTTTGATGTGGCCTACCTCAGAGGGCAGGCCTGTTCCGCTGGACCCACTGCCTAGGACTTGGCTGGGTTGGCTTCTCTGACCGCCTCCCCTGCTGTTTTTTTCCAGAAATTGGCTGACGAAAGGCATGAAGCGGAAGTGGAGTGAAGAGGAGGCTGGGCCTGCTGCAGCCACGCCGTGCAGCTCTCTCTTCAGCCTGTCTGTCTCCAAGCTCCACCAAAGCCTGCAGCACGTTGAGCCCAACCTCCGGCACCTGGTGCTGGTGGCCAACACCCTCCGTCGCTGCCAGGGTGAGATGCAGCCAGTGCCTGCCCCTGTTCTCCAGGCCACCTTAGGCCAGGAGGGCCCTTGTCCTGGGGGCAGCTCCATCTCCATGCCCAGCGTCCTGGCTTGCCGTCTGTCGGAGCCCAGCTGGAGGCTGCCGTCATTGCCTTCTCTCTCCCCACATGTGGACGAACGCCTTCTTTCCACTGCTGACTCATCTGCCTTCCCCACCTTTTTGGAGGACTCGAATGACATTGCTCAGCCTGAAGGGCCCCATCTGTGTTTACTCAGCCCTGAGGCTGAAAGGCCTTCCCACCCTTGCCCTTCTAGCACCCTGGAGCTTCTGAGCCCTGCTGGCTACCTTCTGGAAGATGGCCTGGAGGGTGTCTTTGAAGACATTGACACCTCCATGTATGACTGTGATCTGTGGCTGCCCACCAGCCTTCCCAACTTCAAGGAGGCCTTCTGCTCACCGGGAGAGCAGAGGCCAGATCTGGCAGATCTTGACTGTCTCATGGACATGCTTGTGGGGGTACAGGAACTATGAGGGCACTGATCAAAGTAAATTGTGGTCCCAAGTCACCAGCGGAGAGTGGTGGAAATGAGGGTTGACAATCCCAGACAAAGAGCCATTGCCATAGAGAACAAAGTTTTCATTATATCTTCTATAAGACTGTTCCTGAATGCCTCACATGGCTACCTTTTTGGAAGCTTTCTCAAAAGAAAAGCGACCAACTTGAAATAAGTTGGGTACTATACTTGCTGTCGTCAGTTTCAGTAATAATCTAGGATAAACAGCTGTCTGCTATGGCAAAGTTCTGCAATAGCTTTTTAGACATTTTTCTGGAATTCAGCAGGGATCTTTTTACTTGCACAAAGGGCTAGATTTGTCTGGGTTGGTGGGCAGGAATATGCTGGGCCTTTGAGTCTTAGGACCCAGAACACCTGCTTTTGAGAGACAGCGCCCACCCCGTTGGCCCCTGCCTGCTTTCTCCTCCCTCCCCCAGGGAACCCTCCTGAGCTGCCCAGGCAAGGGAGGGTGGCTGGGCTGGACCTCTTTATGTGCGTAGGCAGGAGCTGCTCGCGCAAGGTTGGGCAGCCAACAGTGGTGAGACAGAGGGTAGTTTGTTATATGAGCATCAAGTGCTAAAAGAGGTGAAAAGCTGCTTCCTGTTAAATTGCTTTGAAAGGATTCAACACCTTCATGTTGGAATTCTGTGTACTGTATTCTGTCTGTCTGAGAACCAGGGACAGGAAGAGGGTCTTTGCTGGTACGGGGTTTTCTTTCTTGCCCCCAAGCCCACCCAGAGAACACCCAGCTGCTTCCCTCTTGTCTTGAAACGGTCACATCGGTTGGGGCAGCTCACCCTCTGTGCTGGATGGCGATCTTGTTCAGGGAGCAAGCTAGAATTCCAGCCTGCACTTTGGAGTTTCCTCATTTGGGGCTGGCAAGGGAGCAGGAAGGGAAAGGAAGAGCAGCTGAGGGAGACTGTTTGTGGGGCAAGGGTGGATGCTTCCAGGAGGGATGGGACTTTCCTGAGATTGGAAAGTGTGCACAAGCCACAGGCATACAGGTTGAGGCCCGTGTGCATAGATCCAAAGTAGCTGCTGGAGTGGAGAACAACTCCAGGACAGAAAGGTTTGTGCAGCTTGCAAATTCTGAATTGGTCTGGGGTTGATTTAAGGTTAAGAATGTAGAACTACATTAGATTAGACCAAAGGGGACCCATCTAGTCCAACGTTTTTTCTTCCGCAGTGACAAGCCAACTGTGAATGAAGTATGCTGTGTTTTTTGTTATCCTCTGGCTGATATAGTGCTGCTGCTAAAGGAGATTCCAAGTTGCTTGTCTTCCAATAATTGGAGCTATAAATCTATCTTTAAATTGTCTAAGCAAGTGACTGTTCCCAACTTTTGCAGTGGAATTCATGGTTGTTGGATTTGAACAATACATTAAACCATGTTCTGATTAGTTACAGTTTATTGACTGAACTGCAGAAGTTCACACAAGCCCGACCTGTCTCATTTTATCTTGCTCTGTGAATCAGGCTAATATTATGCATGGTGCAAAGAAGGAGAAGGGACTTTCCCCTTCACCTCTCCTGAACCCTTCTCCAAGGGGTTCCTAACCTCTGCACTTTCAGTATTCCTTGGCCCTTATTTACAAGTTACAGGCCTCTCTGTTTGCATCTAAATATACAGCAGGACTGACTCCAATCTGCTTTAAACACTTTTTTTAAAAAAAAAGTATGAATGCACGGGGAACTTTTCCAGTCTCACCCCTGCCACCATAAACCTACTCACAAACCCAACTTACTCTCCAGAGTTGCATAGCCCAGCACACTCCAAGATGCCACCCCAGCTGGCATCCTCTGAGGCTCCTCTGGAGATGCGTTTCGGAAGGGCAGGTTCTTTCGATTGGAGCACCAGTCCGGCAGAGAGCCCAGCCTCTCTGAAGAAGCTCAGCTCCCAACTCCAAGAGCGCCTGGAGCCTTCCCCAGTCTTGTGGGAAGACATGGCTGAGGCGTGCTGGAAGCCTGGGCCTCTGAGCTAAATGGACCCTAACCCTTAAATCCTTCCTGGTTTCTGGGTTTGCCTGCCGGCCAGAGGACAACACTCTTAGGCCTTGGATGATGCCAGATACTCCAAATTAGCTAGGCTGCTCTCCACCCTAAACTAAGAGGAGTCCGCAAGGACACGTAGAGCAAAGAAGCAAGAACTGTGGCTGTGAAGACGGAGCCGCTGGGCCTTTGCTCAGCCCAGCCAACGTGGGCTGAAGGAAGCTGGCAGCCGGAGGCGCTGAAAGTTACCTCCTGGTCTGAGCCAGACTCTTCCACTTCTGTGACTGATGACGGCATCAGTTTCCATTCCTCTCTGCTGCTCCCGGACAATTTGGAACTTTTGATTCAAACTTCGAGAATGAAAATATCTTTTTAATTTGTAAAGCTTATTGGATAAAGGGTAGGGGGAAGAGGGCCAGGGCGCAGTCCTTTGGGGAAAGAAGGGGAAATACCTTTTTTTCATTTGCATTATTTTGGGGAAGAACCAAAACCCTCTCCTGCTCCAGACCAGCTCCTGGGTTTCTCCCATCTGAGCCTCCTTCCGGTGAGGAGACCTTGCCTTCATTGCAAGCTGCCCTGCATCGTTGCCAGGCCAAACCATCCCTGGGATGTGTCCAGGGTGGGTCTGGTTTCTCCCTACTTCACTACAGAGGGGGCAGGAGTGGCTCCTGAGGTTGGTTACTCCAGGGAGGCCTCTGCCTGGTGTTGCAGCTGCTGCAGGGGGGAGTGTAAAGGCAATACACCTTCAATCTCTGCCGGAGCTGGTGGGCTTCTCACCTTGCCCCAGGCCGATGCCTCTTTCTCACTTAGGTGGGAGGACTCCCCTTCTAATTCCAGACCCAGATTCGCCCATTGCAAACCTTGAGACTGGGACAGTTGTGGAATGGAGGCGAGGCCTCAGCCCCAGCCAGCTTGATGCAATTTCCCAGCTCTGCCAGGGCACTTCTTCACCCACCAGTGGCCCTGGCTGGGGCAGGTCCTCCTTCTTCCAATGGCCAGTTGGTTAACAGGCCTGGCTGGCTGGCTGGCTGGCTG